ACAGAACGCCCATGCTGAACCAAAAATGACCCTTGAACCGGTTCGACTTGACCAGGGTTGAATTTAAACAGCAGAAACAGTGTTTTAGCAGAAAAATGAGTTTGGAGCGCGATTTTCGAGATCAAGATGACATTTGGAGTCAAGAACGAAATTTATTTCTCAAATAAAATCCCCAAAATGCCCTTAGGTCGAGTTTTTCAACAAAAAGGTGAAATGAGTCTATAAGAGGCTCAAAACACAAACGAAAGGGTTTTTCATGGAAACGATCACTCACGCAAACGTAAATGATAATTTTGAGTGCGCGGGAATGATCCGCGGCTCCCAGAAATGGCCGAGTCAAAATCCAACCCCCCCAATGGCCAAAAAGGCAAAATTTAACTTGAAATGAGAAAATTAAAAACCAAAATTAGGAAATGGTTTCAAATGACCGTTTGGCCCTTGGCCACACTTCATACATGATTAATGAGACCCTATGAAAGAATGAAAATGGAATTCCCACACCCGATGCAACCATGGCAAGACAATGATTTGGCATTTTTCAATATTTTCATAAAATTTCATGAAGTTGAAAAATATATGGGATACAAATTACATGTCATTGGCCTCCGGCCTCATCTCATACATGTCAAATACAATACAAAGGGTGTACTTATGTACACATTACATATATGGAGTCAAAAAATACAAGTTTTGTCAAAATAAACAAAAGTAAACATAATATGCTAATATGTGCATATTCAATATCATCATAAATAGTTCAAGACTTCTAGTCTGTCTAAGAATGTTGTGTATCCCACAACAAAGCTTCTTTACCTGCAAAACACCCAGTAACTTCGGGGTGAATAAACTAGACTAACAAGTTTCTTCGTAGGGGATGAGCATGCATCGACTCGATTTCTTTAAGATTTTTAGGAATAACATGATATAGTTCAAAAGGATCATGTCTCCTAACGTCTATGTCAAAGATTAGACTCAGGGATCATCCTAAGATACCATGGAGCATAAGCGACAAGAATCATGATATATATACATATATGAAACAAGTTAAGATTGGGATAATCAAAAAACACAATGAGGAGGATACTTGAACATAGATTAACATGAATTGCATTATCAACACAATTAAATAAGGTTGGAGCATTCCAATTAACATGATAGGGTTAATACACGAAGTCAAGAACATGGCATAATATCTATGCTATTAGACAATGTTGGAACCATTCGCATAACACGAAAAGAGTTACACAGGACATCAATGATAATACATAATATATACGCAATTAAACAAAGATGGGATTTTCCATAAAACACGAAAAGGAAGATACATGAAGTCAGGAGCAAGGCATAATATCTATGCAATCAAACAAGAATGGAACAATCCATGAAACACGAAAAGAGTTATACATGAATCAAGAACAAGGCATGATATCTATGAAGTAAATAAGATTAGAGCATTTCACACACACGACAAGTTTGAATCTTCAAGGAATAACAACTTGAAATTTAAAGAGTGAAATCAACCAATGTGGAAACTTGGATATCGCCCGGATTAAAACCGTACTCTTGGGATCACTTTAGGGCTACCAACCCAAGGGTACCTTCCCCTAGTCTTGGGATCACTTTAGGGTTATCAACCCGAGGGTACCTTCCCCTGTTCTTGGGATCATTTTAGGGCTATTAACCCAAGGGTACCTTCCCCTATTCTTGGGATCACTTTAGGGCTATTAACCCAAGGGTACCTTCCCCTGCACTAGAACCAAGTTCTAGCCATGATAATTCTTGATTGATATCCCAAGTCCCAAAATCAACAAGTTGTGTAAGTCAAGATTGTATCAAATACAAGAAATGCATTAACCACGTTTCATGCACAACCAAGATTTTGGAACACACAAGTCATGCCCTAAGTTCACAACTGCAATGGCATGTGAAATGTCAAGAAAACACAGTATACATCTATATAGATTAAATCCAAGATATATAACACATAGAATCCATTGAAGTAAATATACCACAAGTATATGATACATGATTTAATTACTTACAAAATATCACATGTGAAATCAAACCATTCCAAGACAAATGTACAAGTTTATGAAGTACACTAATGAAACCAAGATACAAAGGGTCTAGATACATGACAAAAAGCTAGAAGCTTCATGAAGTACAAGTTACGACCATGTGAGCTAAGTTCCATACAAGGGAAATAATGAAATATAAGCTTCAAAACTTATCCGGTTATGCTCAATGTAATACACGTGAAGGAACTTATCAAGGAAATCATGAATACAAGGTTAGAAACTTAACATAGCTCATGGAACCATTGAATGGATTTTAATTAATTCATTTAATTAAAGTCTCTAGATTTTAAAAGTCATCCAAATGACCTCAAATTAAAGTATGTTATACAACATGTCAAGACTCGTTTTAAAAATCATGATACAAGTAAGTTCTAAGCAAGATACTACCTTGTGTATTAAACTTTAATACTAGAAATATAATAATTGAAAAGTTCTAAAACCTAATCAAATATTCTAGATTTAATATATGTGAAACTACATAGCATGCAAATCATGAATGTCAAGTCGGAATTCCAATAGGGTGAATAATACACCCGGAATAAATTAATAAATCAAATAATTAATTATTCTCTAGATTTTAAAACATCACCGTTTACTCTCAAATTAATCTATGTTGAACAGCATGCTAGGGCCTAATTTAATATGCTAACACATATCGATTTCAAGTTAATTAAGGCCACGTGATTTAATATTTTATTCAAGATAAATATTAAATAAAATCTTCGTTACTTGTCCAAATGATCTAAATTTAATATATGTCAATGATCATGTCAAGGGGTAATTTAATATCATGCCACATGTTTAAAACAAGTCATGAGTAACCGGGAAAATTAAATCTTACACAAAGAAATAATTAATCAAAATTTCTAGATTTAATAACCAAGCATGTAAACAACTAGTACAAGCATCCATAGCATGTAATATGACAAGAAAAGTAAATTATAACATCCCTTACCTCAATTTGAGATGAAAACCTCAAAGGCCCACCGAAAAAAAATTGTTCCGAATCCGCCGAAACCGAAGGGTTTTGTCGGGGACAACACGATCTACATGAATCCGAAGGAAGCCCCATGAAAATCCAAACTTGACTCCAAACCCGAACTCGAAAAATCGTCGGACATGGATTCTAATAAGGGCATAAGATGCGCGGCGTCAAGACAAGCATTAAATGTTAAGGCCGAAGACTTTTCACCCAGAAAAAGTGGTCCAAAGGAGGAGAGAGAAGGTGGCAGCCATGGGAGGGAGCTTGGCCAGCCATGGGAGAGGAAGAAGAAGAGGAAAATTCTGATTTTTCTCTTTAAGTCTCTCATTTATAGAAAAACCTAAAAAGTGCCCCGAAAGGGCCCCGTCGGGTCTGGAAAAGTGGATTTTGAGCAAACGCGCTCAAACGGAAAAACTCCATGAACAAAAAAGATTTAAAATGAGAAAATATGAACAACGGAAGAAACGGCGTCAAAAATCGAGTCTCGAGCAGAAAGATATGCCCCGAACAAGTTCGGCGGCAACCGGGGTCAGAAACTCTGAAACTGGAAAAAAATGACCAGAACGGAATTCTAAGAGTACACGACTCGACGAAATGTGAAAATGAATCCCATACAAGGATCTAGACTAGATATTTTTGCAATAACTTTGGTTAATTGCACAATGGCCCCTCCAAAAAGGGTTAATTGCACTAATGCCCCAGAATGAAAATATCTTCCAAAAATATTTTCTTAGATACCCCTGAAATAAAATATCTTCAAAAGATATTTATGAAAAACACCATAAGAAAATAAAATAATTCCAAAGAACTATGCATCCATGCCCCTATGGACACTGGGAGCAACCAAAGTACTTTTTCACAAAAGTAAAGATACGTATTTCGAGGAAACCACTGAAGATGAAGACACGTGAAGTCAAAAACCAACTCCGAGCACGAAAAGTGAGGTTGTGCCAAAAACTGGCAAACGGAGATAAGACAGAATAGGGAAAATGACGAAATAGCGTATAGCGTCCGAAAAGTGAAAATACATAAATGACTCGGTTCTCAAAGGAAGTTGTCAATCCACGGAAAAGAGTCTCATAAATCATTTCTAAGCACTCGAGACGACACTAAGTGACAAGAAACAGAGTTCGGAAAGGAAAATTAAACGAAAAAAATTCATTCGTAAAATTTCAGGAAAAAGGAAAGGGAGGTAAATGACCGGGTCGTTACAGTATTGCTCGAATCTTCTCAAGGTTTGCTTTGATTCTTCTTTGACTTACCATATACCCCATAAATTTTCCCGATGATACCCCAAAGGCGCATTTGCTTGGATTCAACCACATCTTATGTGCCCTAAGCACATCAAAAGACTCCTATAAATCAACTAAATGGTCCTTAGCCTTGAGGCTCTTTACCAACATGTCATTCACATACACTTCCATGTTTCTCCCTATCTATTGCTTGAACATTATGTTAACCAGTCTCTGATAGGTGGCGTTAGCATTCTTCAACCCGAACGGCATCACCTTGTAGCAATACAGACCTCTATTAGTGATAAAAAAAAGTTTTTTCACTGTCAAGAGCATACATGGGAATCTGGTTGTATCCAGAGTAAACATCCATGAAACTTAGCAACTCATGTCCTGCTGTACCTTCAACCAACATGTCAATTCTCGACAAAGGATAACTATCCTTTGGGCAGGCTTTATTTAGATCTGTGAAATCAACATGAAGCCTCAATTTGCCATTTGCTTTATTGACCAGGACCACATTTGACAGCCAGTGGGGGTATTGTACCTCTTCTTGTCTCCTTTTTTTTTGTCGTCGACTCCCTTACCTTTCCTGGAATTCATAGTATCTTCAGCATTCATATGTTTTTGGGCCTTAATAAATAATTCTGTTATACTGCTTGGTAGGTCGTTTGATAAAGAGAAAAGGAATCTGGAGGATTATAATCCTCATATGAAGGCTGTAAAAGTAACCTTATCATCCACCTCATCGACTTGCAACATCTCCGTATTAAACCGGCCAATATAATCACTCAACGTCTCCCCTTTGTTTTGCCTAACATTCAACAAATAGGTAGTCAATTTTCGGTGTCGTCTCTTTGCAATAAAATGCCCTATGAACTGCTTACTGAGTTCATCAAAATTGCTAATAGATCTTAGCTTCAATTTATTAAACCAGACACGGGCTGATCTTTTGAGGGTGGTAGGGAACATCCTGCATATGATCTCATTTGGGACAACTTGCATGTTTATCAGTGAATTGAAAGTTTCTAAGTGGTCGAGGGGGTCATGGGTTCTGTCGAAACTCTCAAGATGGGGCATCTTGAACTTTCTTGGCAATGGAAGAGCCATCACTCGAGGATTAAAAGGTAGATCTATCTTTTGAACAAAGTCATCAACTGTGGCAGGACCTTTTCCTTTCAAGGCTTGGGCCATCGCTTCTACTTTCAATTTAAGATCCTGGATCTGCTGATCAATGTGGGTGGCTTCGATACGTTCTCCGGCATCAGACACATCCCATCGCCGATGAGGCATGGCATCAGATACATCCCGTTGCCAAGGACGAGGCGTTCGTGCACCGGATATATCCCTTCGTGGATAACAAGGCATAGAAGCACGTAAGTTTCTTCGTCGACCTCCCGCTTGGTTGTGCCCTACTCTGTCATTATCATCGTTACCTTTCACGACAGGTGTTGCAGGGATAACTAAATGTCGCATGATTGCCGCATTTTGCTGGACCAACTGGTTCATACCTTGACAAAGGTTCTGAACATGTTGTTCCAACGCCGCGACACGCTCCCCTTCTTCTGGAACACGCCTTGACACACTCTCATGATGGGATACGTGCTCAGACTGTTCTTTCCTCAGACGAGGCCGGTTATCCTCGAGACGGGGTTAGTTGTCGCCATGGTGTAATTGATGATTACTGTCATGACGTGACTGGTTCCCACCATCACGCTCATGATGGTTGCTGTCATTACCATGCGACTGATTTTTTCCATCAAGTTGATGGTGGCTGCTATCATCATGTGATTGGTCTTGGTGGCCTCTTCCATCAAGACACGAGGGGTGATGACTTCCTTCTCTAAGATGGACTCCGAATCGTAACATCATTGTTATTATAGGAAACTAGTATTGTTTCCCACAGACGACGCCAACTGATGATGTAGGATTCCGCGACGACTCGAAGCGATGTCGTACGTGAAAAAGAAAGAGAAAAGTGATCGGGGGTATCAGTGTGGTACCGGCCTAAGAACCTCCGACGATCAAGTCAGTGCTAGATTAGGAGGGTAGAAAGAAGTTTAAAGGATTTTCTTAGGGATTTGTGTCGTATCTTTTCTGTTGACCCAAGCGCCCTCATTATAAGGGTATTAAGTTGCAATAAAAGAGGAATGTTATACCTCTTACTTCTCCAACACGGAAAGGGAACTTATTCTTATCTTTATTCGAAATATTGGAGTTTATCCTAATTTGTAAACTTATGCGACGGTCAAACTTCCTGGATAAAGACTCCTTATCAACTGTCATATAGAGTAAAGACTATTTAGGGCCCGTTTGACATATGTTTTGCTTTAGGCGTTTTGTTTTTGGCTAAAACAGAAACAGTGTTTTTACTATTAGAGTGTTTTGGCAAAAATCGAAAATACGTTTGGGAACGATGTTTTGTTGTGGAAATGTCAGAAACGGAAACATGAAAAAATATGTTTGGTAAGCCATGTGTTTCAAGAATTTTGAAAACAAAACATGTCTAGTAACTCCAACTGTTGTAATAAAAATAATAATAATAATAATAAAGAAAAAAACATAAACAAAAAACATGTTTGGTTATCATTATTTTTAATTTTTTTATATAAATTTTAAATATATTTATAAATTTATTTCTATATAAATAGTCTATATATTTTTAATAAATATATTAAAATTTGAACACACAAACATATATATATATATATATATATATATATATATATATATATATATATATAACCAAAGTGTAATTACAGAAACAACTATTTCAGCGAGACCAATGTTTTGGCATAAACTTGAGTCTTGATGACATGTAGAGTTCCATTTTTTTACTGTGTTCTTATGATCTAGATATTAAGATCACCTTTTTCATTTATAATCCATCTATTTGGAGTCAAACTTCACAAAACATCTATCAATGAGTTATAACATAAAAAAAAAAGAAAAAAAAAAAAGCACCCTGCTAGAATGGAGGCTTGCAAGGAAGCTTCTCAAATCATACTCATTCTTCTGTATTAGGAAAAATGACAAAGAAATTGAGAACAAATTAAACGGTAGATTAAATTAAACAGGAGATATAATTCAAAGTTCAAACACAATTCACTTCATTGTTTACAAATTTCAACAATAGGATTCAATTAAAAGAAGCAGGAGAAATAAACCAAAAAACATTTAAAAGGTAAATTTTTTAGAAACAAAATCCATAACAGTTAATATCAATTAAAGCACACAACTAACACAATCAAATAAATTTTCCTCAGTTTTTCCTAGTAACCAATGAAAAATAAGTTTGAAACCACAAATCCACAAAATAACAATGCAGCAACTAACCGAAATCATTCATCATAAATTGTTCTGGATGTTCTAATCAACACATTACCAAAACTGTGCAATTTCTTCCATCAATTTTTACCAAAACAAATTAGAAATAAAATTAAACCACAAGCTTCTCAATAATCACAAGAGCAATTAATTTAATAGATCAAAACTGAAGTTTAATCCACAAATATTAATACAAATACAAAGAAATTTGATTAAAGAAAAACTAATCTGGGTAAACTTATAACAAGAAATGGTTTCATGTGTACATGTCACATAAACAGGAACAATAAAATAAGACAACAACCAAATAAACCCTAATTTTAAGAACGTTGAACTTCTTATCTTAGGTTTTCTCATTTATTGGAACACTAGCCAACAAGAACCTCCCCTTTAACAAACCCTAATTTTATATCACAGAATGACAAAAACTATAAAATTCTATGTTCCTTTCTCATCTGTTTTCTAAGCAACCAAACAGTGGAAAATGCCAGAGACCCCCTAATTTTATATCTCAGAAATATAAAACTATAAAATTTTATGTTCCTTCCATTCTCCTCTGTTTTCTAAGCAACCAAATAGTAGAAAATGCAAGAAACCCCCTAATTTTATATCACAAACAGTAAAAACTAACATTTTATGCTCCTTCCTTTCTCTTCTGTTTACTAAGCAACCAAACAGTGAAAAATGCAAGAAACCCATGTCAAATTTCATGACAAGCTAAACAAATGCAAACAAAGATTTCTTAAGAACACCAAATCCACATAAACACAATAAGGAACTTACAGTTTCCTCTGCTTTTTCATCAACCAAACAGAGGGAAAATGCAAGAAACCTGCCCAGACGTCAAACCTTACAGTTGCAAAACAATTATGAGAGTGAAATATCTTTTTTTCCTTCCAAAAATAATAGCAAATAATGGTTCAATAGAAGTTCTTGGAGAAGATGTTTGCACACAATCAGAGAAACCCACAAAAAAGGAAGACGAATACAGAGCTGGTAGATATTAAACTAGATATTTTGGATTTAAAAGAACTAGAAACTATTCGGTTTTTAAAAACCCTCAAGAATACAAATAAATCCAGAAAAGCATCGCTTTTTAACGACTTCGTGCTTAACCCTTATTTCTCTGTCTCTGTCTCTATATACTTTCATCTATTTCGCGCTTTCCCTCTCAGTAGAAGTCGCAGATTTGGAAGTATTAAAAGTAAAGCAACATCAAAGGAAACAACAAAGGAAAGGTCTCTAAACAGGAGAGAAATAGAAAAGAGAGTACTCACAGTCACGATTCCTTTTCGTCGCCTCCCAAATCACCAGAGTCTAGGGTTTCAGAGGAGAGATAAAATATCGGGCCGAATGTTGCAAATGCGTTTTAAAGTTACTTATTCCGCTATAGTGTTAAACCCAACTCACTTCATTCGCTACAATGCTTTTTATTGGGCTACAGTATTGAAACAACAAAAAACATCATTTTGGTGTTTCACTTTTGGGCCCAAATTTAGTATTGTCTAAAACAATGTTTCAGTATTGTTTAAAACAAAACAATAGCTACCAAACATGTTTTTGAGCCTAAAATGAAGCCTTGCAACAAAAACACCAAAGTAAAACAGATAACAAATAGGGCTTTAGTAATTTGGTTGGAATGAAAATTATATTTTTATATTGAAATTATAAATAATTTAAATAATATAATATTTTGTTTTAATAAATAGGTCATGTAACCTATTTAATATACAAGTCGAGTTAGTGTTAAAGATTTTTAACGTGTTTATTAAATGAGTTCAAATTAATATATTTAGTAAAATATCCTAGGACCGAAATGACACGATTATGACTCATCGACACATATTGGTACCCCAACATATGTACATAACATGAAGAAGTTTGAGGAAGGAAGAAAAAGGGCTCAGTGATGGGGGCATCAGTGTCAAAAAATACAACATATTGGGTCTCTACGTAAATTTTAAAACAAGAATATGTGTACTAGCTATTTTCTTACAAAGGGTACTTTATATATGCAATGAAGTTATCGATCGACCAAATCGAATCAGTGTTTAGCTTTGCGCACAAAAGACTCAGGGAGCGAAGTGATCATGATCTCGCAGTTCTTTGTGCTGTCGCAAAGAGGCGACAACATCGTCTTCCGCGATTGTGAGTCTTTTCTCTCTCTACATATGTGAATATATATATGTATATGTATATAGATATGCATATGCACACTATAATGAAATAAACGTCTGCTGTGAATTCCTCTTGATCTCTTCAACTTTCAAATATATTTTAGTAAATTTATCATTTTTTGCGACTGGGAAGATCTATAATTGTTCTCTTACTTAGAATCGGATTATGATTGTACGTTCGAGCTAACCGATCTGAATTATCTCACAGTCGATCCAAGCATTTCTCACGAAACTACATAGAAATTTTCTTGTAAATTGATATCTGAGAACTGTAATAACCGATGACAAGACTATATTACAAGCTTGTAAGAAGGCACATATTACCTAGCTATCTAAAGTCTAAACCCATCAATACATTTTTGTGTTTGAAGGTTCTTTTTATCACGCAAGTTAATCATGGAATGCCCAACATGTCCTAGCTATAATTGAGTGTCAGCAACCAGGTTGGCTGGGCCAAGATTAGGGTTTGGCTGCTAGTTGTCAATATTAGTGGGTGAAAACTAAATATATTGTTTAGACTAAGTTTTCCCTTCTCCAATCATCAATTTGGATACCCCGGGACTGCTCAAATATCTGTTAAAGAGTCATCTTCATGATGCTGCTTTAAGTATTTGTTGACTTGCTAATGTGTCTCTTTTCGGTAAAACTTATCAAAATAATAGTTGGAGATATTGACTATTGGGCCATTAGCCCAATTATGTGTGTGTGTTTGTTCCTTTGAGGGGAGGTGAGGGATTTGAGTCCCATAGTGAGCATTTATGTGTGTGTGTTTGTTTGTTAGTATTTACCTTAAAAAAAAAATGAAGTTGGAGATACTGGGTCTGATCTTGCTGAGAGTTAATGAACGATCTTTTGTTTTATTTATGGATGTGTCAATGAACAAACCTTGATGTTCTAGTGCACGATTTTTTTATGGAATCTACCACTGATGAGAACCTAATAAGAAATGTTGTGAAAAAGGGAGAGAAAAGAACCCTAACGAAACTTGGAGTGTATAACTTTGCAATCAACAGTACCTGTTAGAATTGCAGAAAATGAATATTGACACATGTGGTGATAAATTCTGGATTTTTAATCATAAAAATTCACTATTATAGTATTATGTAATGTTCTAGTCACATTTTCACAATAATTTCAGAGTCTCTTATGTTCCTCAACTTTGACTCTCCAAGTTGAGATCTGCATCTTTCTGTCCTTTCCAACTGTTTATAGGATAATATTTTTCTTAGTTGGTGGTACTCACACACACATGCCTTCACCGAGGTTTGAACTCCCGACTTCCCTTTGGGAAGTAGTAGTCTGATACGGCTAGGCCACTGGTCTGTTGGTGTCTATAGGATAATTTTATGTAAACATCACTAAATTATATTGACTTTCCCAAAGGTAGAACCTTTTGAAGTTTGAGCATGGAGTGGTTTGGCTGTTATGAGAAAACATTTCTCCCCTATTTGTGTACTATCGAGACGTGACTTTTGTTTTGGTTATATAATGTGCAGATCGTGGTGATGTACAAAAAGGAAGTGCAGAGATATTTTTCCGTAAAGTGAAGTTTTGGAATGAGGATGGCGAAGAGGAGGCACCCCCTGTCTTTGTAGGTATTTTTTATTTATTTTTATTTATTTATTTTTAGTTGAAGATGTTAGACAATATTATTTTCTTGTTGAAAAAGTCTTACTGAATATCTCCTGCATAATTATTGCCTTGTCTCTGTGGCTCTTTTGATATGCAGTAATTGTTAGTAACTTTTAAGCAAGTGGCCTTTTGATCTCCTTTTAGACTGCTGCCTAGTCTGTTTTTTTTTTTTTTTTTTCTTTCCAAAATTGAACCTTTTAAGTTCACCTCCATATCAGCATAATTGGGAGGATGACAATCTACCGCAAAATCACTTGTTGGGCTCCTGTTCTATCATATGCATTTATTCCTTATATTGCCTGTGAAGCATTTTAATTGCATCATGTCATTTGATGCAAGTATACTGATATTGTTCTATATTTTTATTTCTCATCAATAGAATGTGGATGGCGTGAACTACTTCCACGTGAAGGTTGTTGGCTTGCTCTTTGTTGCAACCACAAGAACCAATGTGTCACCTTCTCTTGTCTTGGAACTTTTACAAAGAATTGCACGTGTAATCAAAGACTACCTTGGGGTTCTCAATGAAGATTCATTCCGAAAAAATTTTGTGCTTGTGTATGAGTTGCTCGACGAAGTTGTTGTAAGTTTCCTGTCATGATTTGTATCTTTGTTGTACTTGGTTTACTGTTTTTAAGCATGTTGCTTTTGAAGGTTTGCTGATGCTTTTTCTTATAAGTTATATTTGCTATAACAGGGAATAAAAACCTGATTTTTCTTCACTATGTTGGTTGTCTTGCATTGTTATTAAAGATAATTAGACCCAAGTTTCTGTGTTCATCAACACTTATAAAGTACTCATTCTATTTGAAGGAATTTTCTATGACTCTGGTTTCTTTATTTTATTTTATGTTATGCCATTGTTACTGAAATGACTATATGAGTAGTTGGCTAACCTTGGAGTTTCCATCGGTTAAAGTGCAGCAGCTATATCTGTCCCAACAATGTTGTATTTCGTTTTCTTACTGTTTTCTCAATAAACTTGTAATTCTTTTGCAGTATTCCTGCTAAGCTTACCATTTTTTCTTTAATTGATAGCATTCTTTTTGGAGAAACTAATGGGCGTAAACATGACTATAACTCTTCATTTTGTGCCAGGATTTTGGTTATGTGCAAACAACATCCACTGAAGTCTTGAAGTCCTATATATTTAATGAGCCAATTGTGGTTGATGCTGCACGTTTGCCAACTCTTGGCCCTGCTTCCATTTTTATGGTAATATGCTATTGGAGTATAGTCAAATGTATTAAATAGACTAGGTGGTATCTTATTTTGATTTTTGACTTGCATATTATGTTATGATCAACTTCTGCAACTTGAATAACGCAGCAAGGATCAAAAAGAATGCCAGGGACAGCTGTCACAAAATCTGTTGTAGCGAATGAACCTGGGGGTAGGAAGAGGGAGGAAATTTTTGTGGATATTATTGAGAAAATTAGCATTACATTCAGCTCAAGTGTGAGTATTTATGCCTTTAATTTAGTGAAAATTTGTGATTTTTTTTGTTGTAGTTATTATTATTATTATTATTATTATTATTATTATTATTTTTACTTTAGTGTTGCAAACTTGCAATTATTTTGGTGTTAAGTATTATAGGATTAGATATAAACCATGCACAGAACATAGTTAAGTATGTTCATGTGTGTCTGATACAGATGCTTTGCATTTAGAACAGTTAATTTAAAATGTTGGAATATACTCCTTTTATGCTTGTAGTATCCCCTTTCAATGTTTTTGAATCTTTTTTTTATTTATTTATAAATGGTGTAACAGCCTTAGAAAGCAACTATGATGGGCCATCTACAGTATCATTTCCTATCTATTATTTTTGAATTTGTTCTTGTATATCCCTCTTTGTTTGAAATTGGGTCATGTTGTTATTTGGTATTCATTTTCCCTTGGCTTTGCGTCTTCGTCACTTCCAGGCCTTGTCCGACAATTTGGATTTTATTGCACAGATTGGGTTCAATTATGTGGGTTTTAATAGATGGTTAAGAAAGAGAAGGTATTACACATAACCAAGAAAGACCTCAAGTGTGCTCTATTAGGGTGGAAGTTGGGTTTTACTTACCAAAGAGAGATAGTGCCGCAGTCAAGGTTACTAAGGAATTCTCGGGTTGGGCCTTGTTTGGATAATGAGTAGGATCCTTAAAGCAAGGACAGGGTGCAATACCTTCGTGGATTAACTGAAGGGATATGGGTAACTTAAGGTCTGAGTACAGTGCTTGTGTTCTCCCTAAATGCAAAATGAAGTTTTTTTTTTTTTTTTTCCTTGGCAAGAAACACACTCGCACACCCACTTTACCCTTATGGGGACTTGAACCTTCGATCTTGTACTTTGAAAGGCGAGGAAGTACCACTAGTTGAGGAGGGACAAAGTGGTATTCACGCTGACACGATGGCCTTTTCTGCTCACCTCTATTGTGGGCCATTGAGATGCCTCCACTTAAACGAGGGCTGTACAACTGGGGGAAGTAGGGTATGATTGCAACTTTAGGGGTTATGTTATAGAAGGTGGGCAAGGCACCAAGCTTCCCTTGTAATCTTCAGAGCAATGCAATGGGATGTTTTCACAGTTCCAATATTAATGGGCCAGTCTCTGAGGTGGTGGCTTTGCCTTGTAGTTGTTGATGTGGCTTGTCATAGTTTTGTCACATAATCACGACATGTCCCATTTGGGAGTCAAGTGATGTCTCTCTTTTCAAGTCACGCTGAGGCAGTAGACCTTGAGTGAGGTTGCCTTGCTGAATCCTAAACTTCAGCTACTAAGCCAAATACCTTAAGTTACGCCATGCTATATCCATATTTGTCGAAGTGGGATGTAAAGAGAATTGTGCGTTGAGCATAGACGCCCTTTGAGCCCTACTCCCATCTCCAGCAGTGTACGAAGTACATCATAACATCTTTAGTCTTGGGATCCATAAAGATGTCTAAAAGAAATGACAATACCTATTCATGGATAGAAGGTCCTTGTATCGTAGATGTCAACAGTGAAGCTTATTCATAAAGAGGAAATCCTTGATATTGCGTACTTGGTGGTCACGTTGGAGATGGTGTGCACATTGAGAAAACAATGATGTCTATGTGCAGCCAAACCTGTGTTGAAAAGAAAAATTAGGGACTGTTTGTTGCATGAGACGGATCGGATGGTCAGAGAAGTGTGCTATGCAAACGCATTGGAGGACACAAGTTCAACTGTAGGTATCAGACTCCTCAAGATGTGATGGATGTGGGGGATGAGCAGCATCCCTCTTGAATTCTCTCACCTGGGGTATGTCATAGAAGCTTTGGATCTAACAATTAAAATGTTAGTAATCTCGGCATCAGTAGTTTGCAATAATTAACATGGAATTGATAAGATGAATTTTGCAGCTAGATGACTTCGATGTGCTTCCTTTTCGTGTTGCCTTCACATAGACCATCTGGGTGTGGCATAAAAATGAGTTGAGGAGTAAAGATTTCGATGCCACGTGGAGCCTATATTGATACCAAGTGTATGCTGTCCATGTGCCACGTATAACATGGGGAATCATGTATCTACAAGCTGTTCCACTGTTATCCAAATTATGGGTTAATATATAACAGTGTGTTTGGATAAGTACATGGGTAAGGAAATGATAGCATTAATTAGTAGAGGAAATAATGGGAAGTAGATGATAGTTTTAACCTCCAGCTTGTTTGGATAACTAAGGAGCTGAAATAAAGGAAATGATGGTGATAGTCCCTTCATTGTGTTTGAGAAAGACGGGGGAGAGAATAGAAGGAAGGAAGTGTTATTATGTGAACGGAGAGGAGGAAATCAGAAATTCACTTGGTTTAACAAATAGGAGCAAAACAGGTGACCACTAATTTCCTGATCCTTTCCTCCCAGATACTCCCACTTTTATAAAGATGGTAATATTACTATTTGAGGGCTTAACAAACCACCCTCCCTCCTATTCCTTTCCTTTCTCTCCTTAGAAGCTGAACATGTGATAAGCTCTCTCTTATTCTTTTTGCCTTACCTTCCAACTCCTTAAATGTTTTGTGCCTTGGTGCATCTGTTATATGCGAAAAGGTACTCAAGACGACAAAGTTTTTGTCCCAGCAAAGTAGAAACCTGCAGCTTAAACCTGGCATGCAAACATGCCTTTTTATGCTCTTATAAATACCATCTGTGTGTCTATCTTATTTTTCATACAGACAGTCTCAAGGCAGTTCGAGTCCAAAGGAAATATGTGGGATGCTTTAAGTAAATAGCCAGACTTACTAGGACTTTTTGATTTTGTTTTAGAGAATTAAAATATCCATTTATGTTGGCAAATAATAAAGCAGCAACAAGGATATATCCTTGGAATACAATGAACGAATATATTATTTTATGTTTAAATGTTTTGGAGCTATATTCAGGAAAGAAAAAAAAATGTTTTGGAGCTATTAGAAACAGAGTATTATATAACTTTTACTCTCATGCTAAACTTGGTGTCTCTTCAATTTTTATTTTTAGTGTATGATCATAGTTTATGCATTTCAATCGTGAGTTTTTCCTAGATTGGTTTCCATTTATATTTATGCAGTTTTCCTATCTTTTCCATTGCCTCTTTTTTTTTTCCTTATTCAAGGCATTGCTAATCAATATAACTGTTGGTTAAACAGGGATATATACTGACCTCTGAGATTGATGGCACTATTCAAATGAAGAGTTATCTTACTGGCAACCCAGAAATCCGATTAGCTCTTAATGAGGAGTTGAGCATTGGACGAGGCGGGAGGTCACTCTATGGTATTCTCAGGGTTTACTTGCTAATTCACCATCAAATTATCTCTACTTCTCTTATACATTAGACAATCTATACTTGTGATGCTTTCAAACCATTATTCCATGGGTGGACCAAATAAAAATTTGCAGTCTTGGAAGCCATATTTAGATTTACATTTTATAGCTTTTATCGATCAAGTAATTTTCTTAGGTTTTATATCATGTATTGAAATTTGACTAGCCATACTTGTGATGCTTTCAAAACATTATCACACGGGTGGACCAAATGCAAGTTTGCAGTCTTGAAAGGCATAGTCACATGTATTGATTTATGTTGATCAAATAGTTCTGGTTAGGTCTTATGCTGTTTGTCTTGAATTTGCCTTTTTGTTCTTAATGAAATTGTGTATTCTTAGTTTGTCCAAAGAAAAGCTATATGCTTCTTTTATTCTTTCAAGCCTCTGCCAATCTCTCAGATATGCCTTTCGCCACCTCATAGAATTCTGCTTTCTGCAACAGATTATGGTGGTTCTTCTGGGTCAGGAGCAGTGGTGCTAGATGATTGTAATTTCCATGAATCTGTACATCTTGATAGTTTTGAAGTTGACAGAACTCTGACTCTGGTAGTGATATAAGACAATGTATCTATTGTGTTTTACTGAACACACCTGTTTAGTTTAATTTTTTTCCCTGTTAATTTGGATGCTTCATCTTGCAAATGTTTGTCAGGTTCCGCCAGATGGTGAATTTCCTGTCATGAATTACCGTATGACCCAGGAATTCAAGCCTCCTTTTCGAATTAACACTTTGATTGAAGAAGCTGGACGACTTAAGGTAGAAATCATCTTTCCTCTATATTAAAAAATTTAGATCATTAACAAAAAACAAAGTGTTAAAATAACTATGTTTCTGGTATGAGAGTGGGTCCCTTGGCCACTATAAGTGATGTAATCTATAGAATGGCCATTAGAGTGTGTATACTTATTTGGATTTTTTCTTTACTTTTTTTTTTTTTCCTAGTTGGTTTTTTTCTTTACTTATAATAAAATAACTTATTTGGCTTTTTTCTTCAAACTTAATGCTTTATACTTCTTTTAAATGTATACTATAATGATTTTATAGTAGCTAACTGCACAATAAATGATGGGATTATGACAGTTTTCGTGATAATTGCCATTAATAATCCCCATTGTCAAAATTATGCTGCTAACTCTGTTCTTGTTGTTTAGGCTGAAGTGATTCTTAAGATACGTGCTGAGTTCCCCTCAAGTATTACTGCAAATACAATTGTAGTACAGATGCCACTGCCAACATATACCACCAGGTATTTTCAATACAGTTAATTTCTGTTTGTCATGGTAGATAGACAATAGTTTTATCTTGTTGTCTCGGAATCTTGTAACTAAGTATTAATTTTCAGAAAAATATTTGATGTAGTTTTGATTATTTTAGAGGAAGAGATGCCATCTCACAAAGAAAGCATATAAACCATGGTTTTTAGTAATCAAAGATGGCAAATTCATGCCTGTTTGGAACTAATTTAGTACACCTGGTACTAAAATGTATGCATGCATAGAAAACATAGGTCACTCTAGAAAATATCCTTGGCATCTTCTTTAATATTAAATCATTATTCTTACAGACCAGACAACCTTGTCCAGCCATGTGAATAAAGTAAAGGGAGTGAAGGGACACAAATGCGTCAATCTAGAAGGGGAAGCAAGCTTGTTTGTATGATTCATTATCTAAACAAAAATTTCTGAATTTCTAGATGGTCGTTAGAATAACTTCCCAGTAGTCTTTGGTGGGAGCTCTTTAGATTTTATCAGAGCATATATGCCGGTGGTTAATATTTGGAAAGGTTCAATAAAATTATACATATATGATGAGAGTTAACAGATCAATGGAGGAAGGCCATACTGGTTTTGCAGATCACTGATTTCGTCTCCAACTAACAATTTTGCAGAGTTAATTTTGAGTTGGAACCTGGGGCAGTTGGACAAATAACTGATTTTAAGGAGTCAAACAAGAAGCTTGAATGGAGTCTGAAGAAGGTAATGTTTCTTGTTTATTCTCTCACATGTTTCACTGTTGAATAATTCACTATGAAATTATGACTTCAGTTTGTAGAAAATTTTCTCCTTTGAGGGAAGTTCCATGTGTCTTATATTTTGTTTAGAAAAAAGTTTGACTGATTGTTGCAATCCTTGACAGATTGTTGGTGGGTCTGAGCATACTCTACGTGCAAAACTGACATTTTCACATGAATCACACGGTATCATATTGCCTATACTGTACAGAGGGCCTAGCCTATATATTTCAGCCAATTTTTTTGCATTGAGCAGGACAACTATTTATTGTTGTCAGCAAAATTTAACTCCATTTTGTTGCACCTTATTGCTTAATATAGGAAATATTACAAAGGAAGCAGGACCTGTCAGCATGACTTTTACAATACCAATGTATAATGCTTCAAGGCTTCAGGTAAGAAATGTCTCCAAGTTTGCTGGTGGTTGGTTTTCTTTCTCATCAGTGACAAACGATCTTAAGATTTGGGTCCTTTTGGTCCTGGTACAACAATATTTTTGGCTTATCTTTATCTAAACTATTCAACCCTTTTTAGTTCAAATACAACAGCAACGACAACAAAGCTTTTTTTTTCTTCCAACTACTTGGGGTTGGCTACATGATTCTTAATTTTCCATTCTGCTATATCTGCGTCATAGCCTCAGTTGAATCACGCATATTATCATATCCTTCCTGACTAACTCTTCCCATATTAATGCTCCCATGTTAATGCTGGTCTTTCCCTTCCCCTAGCATTGCCCTCAATGTGGAGTGTGGACTCACTCAATCGTTTTCTTTGCATGTCCAAACCATTTGAGTTCCAATAGTGAGGGAAAATATCAGAAGTGTCTCTTCCATCTGAACCAAAATAAGCTGTTGGTACCTTCTTTATGATACAAAAATTAAACACTATAAGAAATGGGAGCGGCTACTAATTAGGGCGGGGTGGGTAAGATTTATACTCCCTTACATCACCCTGTGGAAAAAAAAAAAGAAAAAAAAAAAAAAAAGAGAAAAAGGGAAAAATAACGCACTGGTAAATTTTACATGTGAAAATTGAGAAAAGAGGATTGGATGGGCCAGGGCTGGTGAGGCAAGAGCTGCCATCCCTCGTAGGTGTTGTGGTCATTAACTATGCTTTCAGGCGCTTATTTATAGGTTTTATGTTCTTGCAATTATGTACTTTCAGTAGGCAGTTTATCTCAATATTAAGCTCTTGCTGGATTGTTGCTTTAGTTGCTCAGTTCTCTAAATGATTCTTGATGCAGGTGAAATACTTGCAGATAGCAAAGAAATCTAAAACCTACAATCCATATAGGTGGGTGAGATACGTTACTCAAGCCAATTCTTATGTTGCTCGTATATGATGGAGGGAAGCCCCTTCTCCTTGTTCCCGTTTCCCATTTTTTTTTTTTTTTTTTTGGGCACAATGATGTGTTTTTTTTAACTAGATTTTATTTTGCTCAATAATTATATTAAAAAAAATTGTATCCTATAGAAACTGATTGCATCTTCTCCACATTTTTCTTTTCCTCTCAAAAAAAATAAAAAAATAAAGTTGACAATCTTTTGTGGAATGAACTTTCACTGCGTCTTGTGAATTTGGGTAGCGGGTTCATTTGTTATTATTATTATTTTTTTATCCAAGTAACAAATGAAACATATATAGAAGAATAATGGACCTATAAATTTTCACATTTGATTACTTCGTAAGGTTTGAACTTGCTGATGAGAAGAAGTTCATTGTTGTGTGCTTATTGAGTAATTGTCTACATGGGTATAATTTTGTTGTATATAATGCCAAGCCCATCGAAGTGACCTTGATTTTATTCCGCTACATATCATACATGTCCTTTCTACAAAGAATTGCTTCTATTCTGATTCATACCGCTCATCATTTCAATGGGTGGTAATGAAATACTCTTGCATAATGTTTGGCAGGCATGGAATTGGCGTTTTGGAATTGGAATCGGAATCGGAATCGGAATCGTTGAAAAGCAACTCAGAAAATTGAATCAAAATTTTCTTCAATTTCACCAATTTCAATTCCAGCTCCAAGGCTCCAATTCTATGCCACCAAACACAGTCATAGATGTTTCCATAAAGCTCCTGAACTTCTTAATCTGGAATTGCCCCCTCTTCCCAAGGTTGAACTTCACCATTGCTTCCCACCCTGACCTTGCCAAAGCTGGGGCTACCAGTGTTGCCTAAGCCTTCCAAAGGTTCCGGGCATTCCAAAAACTGGTTGCCGCCTGTGCCTCCTTGTGCTTAAACCTGAACTGCTGACTTTGCCAGAGCTAGTGGTGCCCACACTGCCCGAATTGCCCAACCCCACAACAATGCCTACCATCTCAGTTATTCTGAACGACATTTACACAACCACACTCCTTGCTTCCCCTGATCCTAGTACGCCAAAAACCCCCGTGTTCAAATTACCGCAAAAAATCCTCAAACTTGGTTGCCTGCTGTAGGGTTGTGTGAAAAGAACCTTTAAAACACTTCACCGATGAAAAATGATGAATTATCCTATAAGAGAGGTGGGTGAATTCAACCCTAATGCAGAACGACTCATTTTGCATACAACATTATTTATAGGACTGGTACCAAACAAGAACCTGCTTGGTATCCACTTTGCAGGTCCAATCTTGGTGTCTTTTCGAAATAGATCTTTCCTTTTGTGCTTTGAAAGGTTCAAGGGCAATATTTGATTTTGAGCAGATGGAATTATTACGGGCAAAATTTTCTCTGCATGACATGCCTGACTCTTTTTGAAATATTGGAACAAAATTCCAAGTGTCGAGAGCATAATTAGACCAGGTGGATGGAATTATTATTGACAAAATTTCATCAATGCATAATGTGTCATTTTGACTTGGGGAAATACTTTTATGGTTTGGGGGTTATTTGGTGAAGAGTCTAGTCATACCTTAGAAATATTATTTTGTTCAAAGAATTTGGTAGAGAATTTGGCTTAGTGTTGAATGAAATTGGAGGCCACTAAACGTGTGAAATATTCAGTATGTCCATTTGACATGACATAAATCATGCAAGTGAACTCAGAATGTGCCCTTTTGGTTTTGGACCTTTTGGTACAACCTTACATATGAAATCTTCAATATGTCCATTTGGATGATGTTCATTCTCAGTCCATTTCAATTTAACATTGCGAATTGAAGGTGAAATTGAACTACTAAAAAAAAAAAAAAAAAAAGAAAAGAAAAGAAAAGAAAAGGTGTGACTCATCAAATATCAATAGTGGGTATACAAATGTTGGATCCCAATGGATTTTCCCTATTCGAATGGCAAAAATTCGGACTAGTAAAAGTTTTCAACGTTTCACACACACACACACACATATATATTCTTCAGCTCAGTAAGGGTAAAGCTGACTTGCGTTTGGCAAAAGAATATTTATTTATTTATTTATTTATTTTTATTATTATTATTTACTTTGTCACATAGACTTGTCTGGATGATTTTGAAACACGAGGAGTATTATTAAGTTAAAACCTTGTGAACAATGGTACTTCTCAAAGTGAACAGTGAGGGTTCGAATATTTCGTAAAGAGGTGTGTGAGTTTCTTGCCAATGAAAAAAAAAAAACTTGTGGCTTTGGGAGAAATAATAATAATAATAAAGAAATAAAATCTTAAATTTATTGAAGTATTTAATTTGATTTTTTTTTTTTTTTTTTTCCCTTCGCAAAGGAGGAGGGGGGAACTCGAACACTGCCAGACCTGGGGGAGTGTGTGCTCTACCAACTAGGTCACCGTGTAACGTCTAATTTGAATTTATAAATTGGTTGATAAAACATATCTTAAAAAGATAATGATTTGGAGTCCGAAAGTGGGATAACTCCGATTGATTTATGTGAGTGAAGAGAATGTTATGATGACGTTCACGTCAGTATCTACTCAAATAAAATTAATCGTATTTATCAGACTTTGAGACTACCTATCATTACTCATCTTGAAAACCTTACATACTTACTATAGAGGTTAGTATTTCCTTTTGTGCCAAAATTAAAAATAAATAGTTAAAAGTCTCTTTAATAACACTGAAGTTATATATCTCATGGTGGTGATGTGATGGGTTATTCAAGTTGCTTTTGATATGCAAGTTGATGTGGAATTTACGAGAGGTACTGGTTCACTCCTTTGGCCTTTTAAACTTTGGTAAGGTGGCTCTATGGTTCAAGGATTCAACTTGAAGCTTGTCAAAAGAAACCATTGGAGTAATTTTAACTGTAACCAATCATCCCTCACCTTCACTTCATCACACTTGCATTTACTTTTTTACTTTTGCTTTTCACTGAAATGATCAAAGTAACCCCTTGATACTCTGACATGACTACACCATATGATTCCTCCTCATGTTGAAGTAAATTTGGAGTAATGTTTGTAACTTTCTTTAGGAAAAAGAAAAGAAAAATGCTTATAGAGAACAGTAGATACCTTCCATTCTCACTTTCCAATCTTATATGATCCGGGACTACTTGGTCCCGATGAGTCACATGATCAGGTCACGTAAAGAAAAAATTGACACGATTGCATATTTGGCTGTATGTGATTAGCCGAGATCATATTAGTTTCACACCTTGTAATAATTTCTCTATTTTACTCTATCCCTTTTCACTTTAGTTACTTCTATGAGTTGATGATTTTTTTTTTTTGCGCCTATATATATATATATATGCATGAAAGTTTGGAATCAGTCTTGTGCCAAATTTATCAACAATAAAGGCACTCAATGATTTTAGGCTTCTATTAAATGGGAATAAATTTTTGATCAGGCGTCATTGGATCCATAATAGTAAGTTAATCTGTGCTTGGTACTGAAATTAGAATACTAATTTTTGTATGTGATGCTTTGAGTAAAGGCTCTCAAGTTTTAACTATTTTAGGGGAATAACAATGTCATTCACTAAAATTATCTCGCGAAAACTTACTTTTTGACATTTTAACTTGTTTAACTCGTTATTCTTTCTCGTACGAATATTTGTAATGAGTGCAAACGTATAGGGTTGAGATTATGAGACCTAGGCAATAATAGCTCTGTACATCCCAAATGACAATGTTCATATTGCGTTAAAGTTCAAGCAAAAGCATACACACAAATATATTGTCTTAAGTGAAACTCGAATTCGGCCCTTTTGCATTATTTGCCAAATTAAAAGTTTCTAAGAGAGAGGGAGAGGAAAAAAAAAAAGGTGTGAAGGTACATGGATTTGGTGCATAATAAACCATCTCCAGCATTTTTCTAGCATATTTATTCGGTTTGTTAATTGAATTAAGGAGAGAAGAGGGGCGACAGTAAACATAAGGTATCTTCATGATAATAGTATTAGGACCTTACTAATGTAACCTTGTTTTAATTTTAAAAAGAAAAAGCTTCTCACACCGATGTCGGGGTAGGGCGGATACACACCGAGTACACTAAGGTATGATCGTATGTGGGATCCAATTGTGTGTATTGACCCGTAGCCAACGCACTAGAGAATATGTGGAGAGGCCAGTTGTGTATTTTGGCCATAACGGATGTTGGTTCGTTTGAATAACATTACGAGTTTCAAAATTAAAGGATCATTTTGGCTTTATGAATAAGATTACTAGAGACGAGAATAATTTCGATGCAAGCTACGCTAATTTTCCTTTCTTTTCTTCCTTTGTTCTTTAGAATAGAGAAATGCGTGATTTATTTCACCAGACTCTCTAAAATCAAACTTTTTGACTTATTCTTAAGAATTTTTTGAATTTCAATTGTTAATCGCATTGCAAACTTCTTTATAATATTCTCTAACAGAACTCGAACTCTTGATTTCATTTTTTGCATTATCCACCTTTTCGAGCATATTTATTGGGTTTGTTAATTGAATTGAGAGAAGGGAGGGGACAGTAAACAATGGGAAAAGAAAGTTCAAAGAATTTCATCCTTTGATTACACAAGAAGTGGAGGAAAAGTTACCTTATAAGGAAAATCACATTCTTTTTCTTGGAAAAAGAAAAAAAAAAAAAAAAAAAATGCTTTCATCTATAAGAAATGCTAATGATTGATTACCCAACAAACAACCTATGCATCATAATAATGTGACATTGTTTTAACTTAAAAAGCCAAAACTTTTCACATCAATGCTGGCTAGGGTTGGAGAAAACAGAGGTATGTGGGATCCAGTTGTGTGCCTTGGCCTTAGCCGGCGTTGAAGGATGATTTTGGTTTTACGAATAACGAAAATGTTGGAAGAATAATTTAGAGGCAAGCAACGCTAATTTTTCCTTTCTCTTCCTTTCTTTTCTTTCCCTGTTCTCGAGATTGTGTCTTGCGTGATTTATTCCGCCATGTACTCTCTAAAACCTAACTTTTTGACTTATTCTTGAGAAATTGTTTGAATTTCAGTATGTCAATTGTTTGCAAACCTTCTTTATCAAAAACCAAAATCCCCATTTCGATTTTGGGCTTTCACTTTCGGCTTCCACCCCTCTAAAGTCAGTTTCTACTTTATCAATTCCAAGTTTCCAACTGTTTTTCTTGGTACTGATGGTACTTCATTTATATTATGCTTTCACGTTAAGTATTACCATGCA